GCATCTGTCCTTAACGGATTGACAAGCACCCATTCAGCCCTCTGCTTCTGGATGAGTTCTTTTCATGTAGCCTNTGATCAATGTCATCGCTCCGACCCTGAACAGCAAGGCAAAGAGCCTCTGAAGCTGTCAGGGTTTTGAATGGAAGCCATGTCATGGTTTTATTTTTAGTAGTGCATGATTGATTGACCATGGCATGGTTTTATTTTAAGTAGTGCATGATCCATTGACCATGCCATGGTTTTATTTGTTGTAGTGCATGATCCATTGACCATGCCATGGTTTTATTTGTTGTAGTGCATGATCCATTGACCATGCCATGGTTTTAGTCTTTGTAGTGTATAATTAATTGACCATGCCATGGTTTTAGTCTTGTAGTGTATGACCATGCCGTAGTTTCATTTTTTGTAGTGCATGACCATTAATGACCATGCCATCGTTTCATTTCTTGTAGTCCATGGCCATGCCATCGTTTCATTTTATGCAGTCCATGGCCATGCCATCTCCCGCTTCTTTTGGTGGCTGATTTGTGCCTCGACCGTACGGTCCATGGCCTTGCCAGCAATTCAATTAATTAATTAATTAATTAATTAATTCATTCATTAAATTGAATTGAATTGAAGAACGTCCAACCTGGTGGTACACCTGGACGGAGGGTTGAAGCTAAGGTGGTATCGTGTTTCACGGAGTGCAATCAATCAATCAAGAGCAACGTCGTCCATTCGGTGTATCAGCATAACCTCCATCTCTTCGCAACGACAGCTTCAGACTGAGGCCGTCGGTATGGTATGGGTTAGCTTCCCTTCAAGGGTTGGCTTGCTTCTATTGTTGACTGACAAGCCACGTGATCTCACCCATCCTGGACCACCAGGGGAACCCACTGGTTTACAAGGGTTAGTATACCCGCTAGCCAGCATACCATGTACTATGGTAGAGTGTGGTGGCCACCCGGTGACAAGTTTACCCCCCCAGTTGGAGAGGAAAGGCGGACTTGGAGAAGCAGCCATTAAAAAGGGATTCAAAACCTTTGCTGGAAATAGAAGTCAAATCTTGCTGTAGATTGACTTAGTTGGAAGCTAAGTGCAGTTGGAATACCCTCTTGGTTGGCCCATTGCAGTCGATTCTTGAGGTAAATGATTGGTAAGAGGTGATTGTGTTGGTTGAGATCAAGGCTAATCCAAGCAAACAGTTGGGCTTGGGACTTGCTCATTTTGAAAAGAGTTTTCAAACATAATTTCTTTGTTGCCACACCGTCTTCATCCGATACAAATATTTTCTTTCTACAACAGTAGAGTACAGTAGGCCAATCCGATCATAACAGTCAGAGTTTTCTATTGCATTCTACAAGAGAGAGAGAGAGAGAGAGATGGATTGACTCAATCCATCAGCAGAAAAATCCGACTGGACATCTTGATTCGACGTCCATTATTTCATCGCATTGCATACAACAACATCGTCGTCATTCTTCAACACTCCATTTTGATGGACAATTTTTTTTATTTTTTTCTCCTACTTAATCTAGGTCTTGAACAAACTCAACCAATTTCGCATCCATCCTGCGATAAAGCGCAGGCTGTTGATCCATAAATTATTATTACAGCCATTGGCAATCGCAAATCGGCCACCAGTTCTCCTGGTATAGCGCCAACACCATTTGTGGTCCATACCCACATTGATTGGAGAGTTTGGGCAAACGAGGTAAGTTATGCCCGACTTTAGCCTATTCTCATCCATTTCAATCTTGAATTTTCTCTTTCATGCACATTGTGTCACGTTCCATTATCCTACATAGAATTGTGTTTAGAATTGCCTTGATCAATGTTGTTATGATAATCGGCTTATTATTGCATTGGGCAAATTAGACAACATGCATGCACTTGCATGATAGTAAATCGAATAGGACTACACTACAGTTTGCAGTCAATGGTGAAAAGGGCTCGTCAACAAGCTTTCCCACATTTTCCCACTTGAAACGTACTAGCTGACTCCAGATCGACTCTTGCATTCTTTTTACAACTACACACGTACTGTATCCCTTTTCTATCCATGAATCAATCATTTTAGAATGAGTGACTTTACAATGCTAAGCAATCTATCTTTCAAAACAGTCAATCAAAATTCATCGACTACCATGCCAACTCAATCATTCCCTCACTATTTGACAATGACAACTGGCTTGAAACGGATTGATTGAACATTATATTACCACTGCCTTGCATCATCATAGTTATCCAATTGCTCAGTCCTTGTAAAACACTACAAAGTACCTACTGCACAAAATGCTGTCAATTAGCCGTTACTCATGAAACTGCCGTAGAGAATTGATTCTCACTGGCAAGATCAAGCTGAACAATTACCCAAGCCAGTCATAGCATAGGGTATCATGAAATGTTGTAGTCCCTAAGGACAAGGATTAAACTACTAAGCCAATGACAGTAGTATTCTAGGTACAAAAGGATAGTCTATTCTTGATGATCGCCACGGGTGGATTTTGTTGTTGGACTTTTTGACTGCCATCATCGACCACCTTGGTAAGCCTAAACCATTTGTAGCGACATGACAGTAGGTTGCAAAGTTGCAAGAGTATCGCCTTGTTTTCATTTTGCTACCAAAAAAAGATCATGGCTACAATGATGCACATCCAGTTGTCGAATGCAGTCGACTCATGACTCTTCAAAGCAGTATTGACGATCTACTATGGCTTTAAGGAATTTGACCGTTTGCTACTGTTTTTGCTGTTGACATTGTTGATTTGTTTGCCAGTGCCGGTTGTACTACCATGCCTATAGTACCGGCGTTTTCCATGACATACTGTATCCACAATGCCGCCCTAGTTGTACATCTACTTTCGTTGAAATGTTGGCGTGGGATGTTGTTGGCCTCTACTTGCTGAGATGATGCAATAATATCCCATGACAGAGTTGCAATGACAAGAATTACAAACCGGTCATGTTTTTTTTTTTTCCTTTGAAGGTCACAAAAGCCCTGCCGATAAAGTAATTTCAATTATTTGTATAGTCAATTTGAATGCATTTGCCATTCGTTGAATACTACAGGGACAAATACGATGCCTTCTCCGATACAATAGTGCCAAGTAGGCAATAGCACTGTAATAATATGATGACAACAAGAATGGCGATTCTGTACATTAAATCAATCACGTGCAATGTGAAAGATCAATGCTAAAGGTACTAACTAGCTAGTAGTATTTTGTATTTATAAATGAGTTATCAATGCCATCATCGAATTGGACAATGTTGCTATTCTACAAATCCATGTCTTGCATGTTTTTATTCTTCACGCCACGCGCGATGGTAAATGATCCAATGTTGGATAACTCAGTGGCACTAAACTACAGTACAGATCAGTTGTCTTTCATGATCGATTTTGGATCGATCATGAAAAAAAGGGATAATCATTCCAATATTGTCAACGGATAGAGTAGAGTGTTATCCAATTGACTTGATCAGAAATGCTGTTGGACATCGTTTGATGACCGTGTGGAATGATTGAATACAACTGTGTGGAGATGCAAATCCATGCCTTGCATGTTTTTATTCTTCACGCCAAGCGCGATGGTAAATGATCCAATGTTGGATAACTCAGTGGCACTAAACTACAGTACAGCTCAGTTGTCTTTTAGCAAATGATCGATCATGAAAAACGCATAATCATTCCAATTTTCCAATATTGTCAACGGATAGAGTAGAGTGTTATCCAATTGACTTGATCGGAAATGCTGTTGGACATCGTTTGATGACCGTGTGGAATGATTGAATACAACTGTGTGGAGATGCAAATCCATGTCTTGCATGTTTTTATTCTTCACGCCAAGCGCGATCGTAAATGATCCAATGTTGGATAACTCAGTGGCACTAAACTACAGTACAGATCAGTTGTCTTTTAGCAAATGAAATGATCGATCATGAAAAACGCATAATCATTCCAATTTTCCAATATTGTCAACGGATAGAGTAGAGTGTTATCCAATTGACTTGATCGGAAATGCTGTTGGACATCGTTTGATGACCGTATACATGATGGAATGATTGAATACAACTGTGTGGAGATGCAAATGATTGTAAAACAGCCAATTTTTCAGAACTTGGTTGCCTTTTTTTTTTCCTTTATCAAAATGAACCTTTTTTTCCACATTATCGTGATTTTACGCCACACGCTATCGTGAAAGATCAAATTTTCCACAACTCAATGGCGATCAGTCTATTCAAATTCAATGATGAAAAAATGAATCGTGTTCTTCAAATTTTCAATATTGTTAACGGGATATACAGTAGTAGGGTAAGATTCAATTAACTTGATCCCAAATAGTATTGCACTCGACATCATGTGGATGATAAAGTGATCCAGTACAACTGTGTCTATGCATAGAAATGATAGTAATAGATTCCAATGTCGATAACTCAATTGCGATACATTAAGGATTGTTTTCTGCTGCCGTAATTGTATAAAAAATGAATAATGAAAAAAATGAAATCAGATTCAAATTTTATAATATTATCAACAACGGCAGTAGAGTAGAGTGTACTTCAATCGACTTGATCCCAAATGATGGTTTTACATCATTTCGATGGCCATGTAAATGATAAAGAGATTTAGGATAACTGTGTGTGTATGCGGAAACGATAGGAATGGAGGCATTGGGACTACTGTTAATTGCAGTGTTCCCTCTTCTTTTAGACTACTGGAGAAGGATGCACTGTTTAATATTGGTGTATACTACAGTGTGTATTAGCGCTGGAAGGCCTACGTTGCTAATTATTTTGTTTGCTAGCTCACTATTGAACAGGAAAGGCGGATATCGCTAAACGTTTTAATGGGATTAATCCTACTATCAATTAGACATTTTTTCGTTGTCTAAGCAAATCACGGCTATTGTGCCAATGCCTATATGAACAGATGATCCTATCAAAACATCCAGTATGTAGATATATTCAGTGCATAACTTCCGATGGGCTTCTGGCAAGAAAATGCTGGCGTATTACCTACCATTCCTCTAGTGGATGTTTATTACATGATTGTCTCAATACTGTAGATTAATGCAGATTAACTTTGGATAATTTAATTTAGTATGACCTCATCAATGAATTCTCCAAATAATTGAAAACACTACGTATTGCATGGTTGCTTTATGATCACTATATTGGTTGACAAAGATTTTACAAATGTTTCAGAACTACAAGATGCTAACCGTTTTAGACAGTTGTGCAATTAATTAATTTAAAACACTACATATTGCATGGTTGCTTTATCATCACTAGTATATTGGTTGACAAAGATTATTTTACAAATGTTTCAGAACCACAAGATACTAACCGTTTTAGACAGTTGTGCAATTAATTGAAAACACTACATTTGCATGGTTGCTTTATGATCACTAGTATATTGGTTGACAAAGATTTTACAAATGTTTCAGAACCACAAGATGCTAACCGTTTTAGACAGTTGTGAAATGAATTGAAAACACTACATTTGCATGGTTGCTTTATGATCACTAGTATATTGGTTGACAAAGATTTTTTTACAAATGTTTCAGAACTACAAGATGCTAACCGTTTTAGACAGTTGTGCAATTAATTAATTTAAAACACTACATATTGCATGATTGCTTTATGATCACTAGTATATTGGTTGACAAAGATTTTACAAATGTTTCAGAACCACAAGATGCTAACCGTTTTAGACAGTTGTGCAATCAATTGAAAACACTACATATTGCATGGTTGCTTTATCATCACTAGTATATTGGTTGACAAAGATTTTTTTACAAATGTTTCAAAAGTACATGATGCCAACCGTTTTAGACAGTTGTGCTGTATACTAAAAAGGGAAGCCTACCCCATACTGTAATGTATCCCTGTCAGCCCGAGCTAATACTCTTGTCATATAAATACTACTGCGATCCAAAATGCTGAAAGCTTAAATGTAATTTTTTCGATTCCATTAAAAGCAAACAAACTACAAAAAGGCTCATACTTTCATTGGCTGACCATATGATATTTCTGAATGGAGTGGTAATCCAATTTTTAAAAGGTGATGGCGTAAACATCTAATTTAATTGTCCGGATAATAAGCAACTTCGTTTTTTTGTTATTTTCACCCATAAAACCAATTAATTATTACTGTCCAGTAATTTTACCATCAGTTTCTTCAAATACTATGTTTACCCAATTACCAATCGCCTGCAATGTTGCAAAACATCGTGGAGCATTTTAAAAGCGCTTAGCTTATTTTAATGAGATGCAGTCTTTCTTCTGTCATGAATTGAGCCATTTTCTCTCCGCTTGTAATACCAAGAACAGACTTGATTGCTGCCGTTCATTTCTTCCTTCATGTAAGCAATCGTACAGTAGGTGCTCAACCGTCGTTATACAGTATTTTTATCAATTTCTCCATGTTTATCAACCTGCTTCCTTAGGCATTCTCGCTATTAATTTCGTCCTTCATGTACAAACGCATATGCAGTACTGTAGTTACAATACCGATTTCTCGATGTTGATCAAACCTCTCGCTTACTGAGATCTAAAATGGATAAGCAACGGCCTACTGTGCATACATACTTGATTAATAAGAAATGTATCCATGAGTTTACCAATCTATACGTGAAGCTGAATACTTAGGATGTTGTGTCCATCATTGGCGACCGATCTTTCCGTAATTAACTTCGCTTTAACTAGAATGGAGGAGCGGCGCGTCCATTCAGTGTTGGATACATACTAATTCCTGAAGAATTTTATATTTGAATTGTCGGCGCCAGCTAGCGCTGTGCAGATATACACTCTGGCGAAATTCTACCTGCTAAAAGAGACAAACACCAAGAAGTTTGATTAATTAATACGATACTGTAGACGAGTAAACTGTGTCTGTAGAGTGGACAGTGTATTAAGGGCACATCAGGGTTCAATTGAAATACACGATGTGGGATGTTTATCTACAGTACAGTGTTTTTATTTTATGCCGATAAATTTTGCATTAATAGTGCATTAATTGCTCGTATTGATATGTTATCGTAATTTATCTACTATAGTAGATAGTAGGTAGGTACGGTATATCACTTTACTCTACTTTTTAACTTTGCTTCTCTTGATACTACTACTAAACATTGTAAAAACGCCACATCTGTAGACGCATCATCATACAGCATAGAGAATAGCGATCACTTAGAAGTAATTTTGTTATATTGCTGCTGTTCGCTACAGATCAACATTGAAATTGTTACAGAATGTAAGAATAGCTAAACAGCAAATTACACTTTTCCCCTTACTAAAATATTTTATTATAGTTACTGGTATGAATTAATTTAAAGATGGGAGTGATAAAGTCTTACATGTTATAGGCATAAAGAATGTTGTTTTGATCGCATGTCTGGAATAGAGACTGTTTTGACGTCTTGATAGTAATTTACATTAAACTTGTTTGTTTAGTAAATGCCTTTATTTCTTAATAATTTTGACGCTCCTATCATAAAATACGATAGCTAGCTACAGTATAGTGTACATCTTTCCTTGCTAAAATTTCATGAATTGGATAAGTAAGTTATACTCATAGACCACGTATACTGCTCTTATTTAGCTATAATTCCTACCAGCTGCTATTGCGATAAAAATCTTATAAGCCTCTTATAATGGCCGACGAGAAAGATCTCGAAGTAAATAATGAGAAATCAATGCAACTAAATGGGATGGGTGAAAAAGCACCTGAAGATGATGAACAGCAAGAAACTCGATTACGTTGGGATAATAAAGCTCAATTTATATTGGCGACTATCGGCTTTGCTGTTGGCCTAGGAAATGTTTGGAGATTTCCTTACTTAGTTCAGAAGAACGGTGGAGGTAATTACACGCTATGCGTTTGTGAGTTACCAACGTTGCTTTACTAATTAGCTTGCTTTCCTCTTGAGAGGCTTGATTTTCGATTGTCGTTGAATGCGATGGAAAATAAAGTATGCATTTGATACTGATGTTGGATACGTGAATAGTTCAATATTACTACAATCGTAGATCGAATTGAATTTTACCATACATTCCCACGATACTATCAGTAAAGATATAACCTCTATCGATGAACTGCTCTTTACTTCTTCAAATTTTGACCACCAATATCCAATAAATTATGCAGATTTATCTAATGATATTCAAACAGAAATTTGAAATTCGGTAAACAAATTTCTTTCAGGTGCTTTCCTTATCCCGTATTTCATAATGTTAGTCATCGAAGGAATACCCATTTTTCACTTGGAATTGGCTATTGGTCAGAGATTACGTAATGGCCCTGTTGGGTCCTGGAATCTTATTTCTCCGAAATTAAAAGGTGTTGGAGTAGCTGGCTTATTAGTATCCATCGTTGCCTCCTCCTACTATATCATTATCATTGCGTACTGTTTAATGTACCTCTTCAGTTCTTTTCAAGTGGTCCTTCCTTGGAGTCGTTGTCCAACGTATACACCGCCCGGTCAACCCGCTAATGTGACACTTCCTGTAGAAGAATGCGCCAATAGTAACCCTGTTGTATACTTTTTCTTCCGTGAAGTGAACGATGTCTCTAACAACATTAATATAAGTGGTGGTTTATACTGGAAATTAACCTTATGCTTGCTAGGCGGTTGGATTATCATTTATTGCAGTATCCTCAAGGGTATTAAATCATCTGGAAAGGTACGGTCAATCATTAGTGAGCAAAGAGAGAGCTAGCTCTTGCTCGATTTTACTGTAGCTAGTCATGTATTTATGGTATTGGTTTTAGAATCAATTAGCGCATAATGTTATCGTTTCCTTATTCATACTAGGTCATATACTTCACTGCAACATTCCCGTATTTGGTATTATTCATTTTCATGATTCGTGGATTTACGTTACATGGATTTGAAAACGGCTTATTACATCTAGTAACACCTCAAGTAAGTTCCACTGTGAATTAAGCATGAAGTGAAACTAGAATTATGCGTACGATATTGAATTGGACAATTAATTGACTACAAATCGATTAATTTGAAATAAAAATTGTGCTAATTTTGTTTATATTTTAATTTGGCAAGTTTGAAAAGCTGAGAGACCCACTGGTCTGGTTAGATGCTGCAACACAAATATTTTATTCTCTAGGTGTTGGTTTCGGTTCACTAATAGCTTTTGCTAGTTACAATCCAATCAAGAATAAATGTGGAAGAGATGCAGTTTGTGTATCGTTAGTCAACTGTTGTACTTCGCTTTTTGCTGCTGTTGTTGTATTTTCCGTGCTGGGTCATATGGCTACTACTAAATATGATGCGTGTATAAGTTCAGTTAATGCAACGATGGGCATGGAAGCTGCTTTAAACAAATGCAAAATTGCGGACTATCTTGACTCGGTATTTATTGTTGCATTAACTGAAACTACAATTGTTAAATACATCCGTGTAGTACTGGAAAAGTATTGCTAAAAAGGTAACTTTTTAATCATTTCCATTTTTAATTTCAATTTTAAAGGTCGGTAGTGGCCCTGGCCTCGTATTTATTGTTTTTGCTGATATTATTGCTGGCTTCTCTCCTCCACAATTTTGGTCAATAATATTTTATTTCATGTTACTAACTCTTGGCATTGATAGCATTTTTGGCGCAATGGAAACAATCCTTACAACACTCACGGATTCTGCATACTTTAAAAAGATCAGGAAAGAAGTTCTTGCAGGTAGTCTTTACATACCGTTAGCCTCGTATGTAAATTAAATATTTGCAAATCAAAAATAGAGTTATCGATTTATAATTGCAGCATCTCGTACAAAAGTATTATTTGCTGATGCTACATAAATTCTTTCCGGATTTGACCTATTTTCTAACTAAGTCTAACAAGCTGTATTTTCTTTTACTGTAGCTGGGATCTGCTTCTGTCTATTTTTGTTTGGCTTCATTTTTACTCAACGCTCTGGTCTCTATTTCGTTGAAGTCTTTGATGCAGTAAGCTTGCCGATTCCGTTACTTGTTATCGCATTGGCTGAGGTATCTGGAATTCTATTCGTTTATGGTCCGAAAAGGTAAGATATCAAACACTCTTTTTTACTCTAATAGATAAAACTACTACTTATGATTTGTAAGCTATCAAATGAGTTGGGCAGTAGTTAGTTCGGACTGCTGGTTAATAACTGGTATTGTTTGCAATTTCAGATTATGTAATGATATCGAATACATGACTGGAGATCAACCAAACCTGTACTGGAAAGCTTGCTGGTTTATAATAACTCCATTATCAATCGTTGTGATCATAATTGCAACTATTATTCAGCTCGCTCAATCAACGCTGATGTACAGCCAGTGGTCAAAAGAGACGGTATGGCTACTTTTGGGCATCGATTAATTCTAATTTATGTTATGTGTGACTGTCTCCAGATTAAGTACTTCAAAGCTAAGATTTATGTATAGTAAAATATCGCTGTAAATTTAAAGTGTAATCACATATTGCTTTTTGATCTGTATAGGCTTCGGGAGCGTCACTTCCGTATCCTGGATGGCTAACGGCCTTTATGTTTTGCGTAATCTTGTTGCCGATCCTCGCAATACCTGGCGCAGCGCTTGTAGAATTCTTTAAAACGAAAAATCTAACATTGCATGAATTGGATGGTTCTTATCGCAATGAAAACCCCAAACAACAGAACGGAATATCAACAAGTTAAGAAATAGCTGTTTTAAAACTAATAAAGGAAGAAAATTTTCACTCCAGAATATCTAAGAAACAATGGTTAATAGCATATGTCCTCAACAACACATTTGAATGTGATTAGCAAATCTGCTATCACTTTTCAATCTGCTCTTAATGTGTAATTTCATCATATAAAATTATACTTGTATGTCCACGTAATTTTAGAAATGCTGAGAATGGTCTTTGGAATGATCAACCGACTGTTTTAACTGTATTGCTTAAGAATTATCTAAATTTCGTATAGCTGTAGAGTCAAAGTATTTTATTACCATTTAGGTACATCTAAATGATAATTTTAAAGCGACTTCCTATCGTATGTTGCTTGTGTGACTACGGACCTTTGTATTTTAGTTGCTATTTAGGCGTGCGTCGATTAAGTGACGAATAAGACGTGTGCTACTCCTATAAAGCATACCACATCATATATAATCGTTTTAACTTAAACATTATAGTATTGAAGCCACATACAGTACTCGTATATTAACTAATATTTGATTCCGTAATTGGTAGCATTGCCCGTTCTTCGTATTCTATCGAATAAATTTTAAATATCTGTTGAAAACTTTAATTAAGAGATTCTGATGTGCATGTACAGTAGTAACCTGATGCAAGTAGGAAGGATTAATTTCGTGGTAGTAGAATTAGCTGATTGGTCTAAGGATGGAAGAATGGAAGCTTCTGTCAAAATAGGCCTATACAATATACATGGTATTGTTTATACTCATCGCTGAATTTCCATTTTAAAAATCGGTGAGAAGCCAATTACTCAATTGCAAATTTGGATCTTTATTACCAACAAGATCGACTATTGTATTGCATAACAACAATTCTGCTAAGTTAAGCAATGGTACGTAGTACCGTACTTAAATGTGTGCTTATATGGAAAAATTTTAAGAATAACAATAGTAGTATTAAGCGTTTTGAGCAAATTATCTGTCTGCTATGTACTTGCGCTTAGCTTTTAAATTAAAGTATGTTTGTACTTAATGGCGATAATCGAAAGCTTAAATATTCTATACCGTATTGGTTAGATGATAATGCTAGCGAAGAGCGCTGGAAATACTGAATTTTTATACTGTAGTTGCCATTCGCGGAAGTATTTCTCTATCTTGAACTTTTAGACCCGTATATGCGAGAGATGATAGAGGAATGATTTTAAAGAATGAATTCACATCTTAAATGTAAAAAACATGTGCGATGAAGCTTAACCTGAATACTATGTGTACACATTCGCATGCATGATTTGCCCTCATTGAATAAGATCAAATTTGCTTAAAGAGGAAACTCCTATAGCATTGAGTTCAAATATTTTTTACTTGGAATAACTTCTGGTAAACATTGTTATGTTGCAGTGTAGCCAGCTATACAATTTCGCCAATCTGTTTGTTGATGGTTTGATATAAAAATTTGATATCAATGTTACAAAAGACCTTTAGGTAATCGATAAGGAAGCGATACTCTTGCTAGAATACTCATATAATGTTCTCTGCTTGCTTACATTTTATCCTTCTCACAGTGTAATAGTGAATAGTTTTCTCTGGAGTTGATTAGAGTGTAAATCTAACCTATAATTATCTATCAGCTCTTACCAATAGACCGTGTACTCGCACCTATCCATCATGCAATTGAACAACACTTGCAATGCTTTCTTTTTCAATGCAGGAAATAATTTTATAGCATCAATGGGAAGAGATTTTGTTTTGGAATGTTCCTTACTCATATGGCGATTTTGATTTACGTTAATAAATAACTACAAGGCGCAATCATTACCGTACTTGAAAGGAAACATCTTTAGTTTGCCATTCAATATTATGCCGGCCAAATTGATTCTATGATCGATACTTATATGCACAACTAATCTTTTTAGGCCACAATAATATAGCATTGGTAGGGTTAATTTTAGAAAAATTTCACAACTTTACAAGCAAATCCATGCATACAATCGTCATCAAATATTATCCTTGCAGTCTAAAGGAAGTTTGGAGTAGTAATCAACCTGTCCTAAATCATGATTATTTCCAATCATGAATTTTCTATATATTGCTCACTTTTGTAACAGAAAATTAAACAGGATTTATATCATAATAATGACTATATTTAGTAGATAAATGCATTCACTTTTGGCTACTGCTATAATCCGAAAGGAAAGTGATATTATTATCATCATTCCCTAAATAAGAATTGGATGACTCTGAAATCATCATTAACTTTAATTATCAACTTTATACCTATTAATCACTTTGTAAATGGAGCATATACCAACATCTGCATCATGGAGATCGTTCCATTTAGTAAATAAATGCATTTACTCTCTACTAGTGCTATCCTACTAATAAAAAAAACGATTGTGTCGTCGTCATTTGCCAAATTGGAATCTAATGATTCTGAAATAATTTGACGTTCTAGTTAAATCAATATCATCAGATTATCGTGTAGGGATTTTATTGAGTGCGATTATTTATTGGATGGTAATTGAAATTACCCCTTAGCCATCGCAATCCGGAATAGAATACACGCTGTTCTATATTAGCCGTGATTGGAAGGAGCAAGTGGTGCTTGGTATGGAATCAAGTCCACGTCACTGATAGCGATATTTTTGTTAAGCAATCATAATATTTTGATTGCATCACAGGAAGGTATCCTTAAAAAGTTGCCACACTGTCATTTTATAGTTGATATTAACCATAACCTATAAAAGAATCCATTCTATAGAAAATCTATCGTTGTTGATACTGTATCGCCTACACTCAATCTCATCTAGAAAACCATTTTATAACCTCATTTCTTTCATTGACAGACGCTTTATTTGCCTCACTAACCGCCTAATTTTTTCTGCTGTCACTTGCATAAATTAAATTAAATACGGTTAGCTATGAAACAGGAAGATCAAAAACGAGAGAAATGGGATAATAAAGTCCAAGCTTTCTTGTCATTAATTGGTTTTGCTGTTGGTGTTGCTAATTTCTGGCGATTTCCTTATATGTGTCAAAAAAATGGCGGAGGTAATTACAGTCGATGACTAGATCACTTCTGTTTCTAAATTGAACTTTTATCTGTTTGTGTGCATGCAATAAGATAGTTAGCGATACCTATTTTACCGGTAGTCTTACAAATGAATCATAGCTACCATTAAATAATTCTCAATATAGACACGACGTATTGGCGGTTACATTTTGCCGATTCTCGTCCAATTTTAGACGAATACTTTTCTCTACGTTAAACGGAAACCTATCATCAGTCTCTATACCAATTATACCCTATTTTATTCAATTTTAGTCACAGAAGAATCATATCTTCAATAAATAGTACTATATCTCTATTCAGCCATGAGTGTACTTTGGTTGATAATGTTGTCACTTTTAATAACTTTTTCATTCCCCAAAATCCTATATGACATCATCCTATCGTTTTCTTTCAATATCAAGCTAAAATGTAGCAGCACTTTTATCCAACTATTTATCAATTGCATATTGAGAGATGTTAGTTTTGTGCTATAATGATGGCAATCCATTTTATCCTCTCATTTTTGGCTTGTTCATTAGTCATCAGAACTTTCTTAATACCTTTATCGATATCTTGCACATAATTTCAAGAAAATATCAGTTATTATTTTCAAGCTAAGAACTTTAATGCCATTTTTCTACAGTATATGATTTTGAATTCATAAGCATTAGTATTGGCGTTAGAGCTTTATACATGCTTGCTATGTCGAATAAATGTGCTTGCACTTACATTAGAAGGAAAGCAGGACTGGAAACGCCTATTACTAAAGTGAAGTAGACCCACTTGGAGTTATTAATCTTGGATAAAATCATACAGCGCCTAATCTATAGATTGCTTTTTGCTTGGCCAACGATAAATTAATCCATTTAGATTAAAGTAGTCATAGCAGTTGTTATAGAAAAATCGAAATTGATTTTCTTGTTTTCCATAAATTAAATCGATCGGCAATATTCCAGCTAATGCGATTTCATGCTATACAGTATGGCAATACACACTTGTTGATTCAAGGAAATTTTTTGATCGCTTTATAGGAACTTTCTTAATTCCTTATGCTGTCATGACACTTATCATCGGCTTTCCTCTAACTTATATTGAATTATTGGTTGGCCAAAAATTTCAAAAGGGCCCATTATTAGCTTGGGGGGCCATTTCTCCTTATGCTCGTGGTATCGGAATCGCTTCATGTATTTGTTGTTGCATTGGAGCTTCTTACTATGCTGCTGTCTTGGGCTATAGTATATTTTACTTTTCCAATTCCTTCCGATCTCCATTGCCTTGGAGCCAATGTCCAATTATTCGTAATGAATCCAATTTTACTCATGCTAAGGTTGATCCTGAATGCAGTATAGCTCAACCAGCGGTGTATTATTTTTATAAGGAAACGCTCGATGCAACCCATTCTATCAATGATGGCGGCGGTATTTACTGGAAAGCCATAATTTGTTTAGCTGCGGGATGGATAATCCTTTATTTCTGTTTGATGCAAGGGATCAAATCAAGTGGCAAGGTAAAATTCTTAACTATACACTAATCTACAAGTCTATTTGATTGTTTCTAAGTTTAAATTAGTTTTCCTGTTCCAACATAGCTTCATTTCGGTTTCTTGATCTATCTCACGCATTATTAAATATTTTTAAGCTATACGTAGCACACCTCAGTATTGCTACCAGACGCAGTCGATAACTAGGAATCATTTATTTTTAAGTTGAAAACAGTTTTCCATTTCCAACACCGCTTCAATTCAATTTTTTGATCCTCCTCGTACATTAATATTTCTTAAGCTATACGTACCACGCCTTAATAAATAAATTATTCCAAGTTAAAAATAGTTTTCCAGTTGCAATACAGCTTCATTTTGATTTCTTGATCCATCTTGCATATTAATATTTACTTAGCTATACCATGGACCACTGGAAGAGAATTTAAGTTTTCTTCTAGAGGTCCATAGTTATACGTAGCATACCTTATTATTGCTATTAGACGCCAATTATAACTAGAAATAAATTTTCTGCTCAAACACAGCTACAACTCGATTCCTTGATCCATCTTGCGCATTAATATTTATTAAGCTATACGTATATCCCACCACCACCACCAGTGACAAAGTCTACATTCGCCAACGCTAATGAAAAACATCTCTTGCTGACTTCAAGAGACGTGATTAGCGACATCACCAAATAGATCAGTTCCAACGACCAAATACTATAGTATAGTTATAGCGTCGCTGATAGTGTAGACGAGGTAGTCAGAGAATTACTACTATTTATTACTGAAGATGTCTTGATAATTCAATAGCAATTGACAAACTAGTTGACTACCTAAGCGACTAACTAACTAACTAACTAAAAAGTGGTCTTCAGTGCATTTTCATATTAATCAAAGACTAAATAAATTATATGAAGAAACGATAATTAATAAAACGTCAATTCACAAAAACGATATTTAATATTACTCAATAATTACAACGAGCTTACGCATTGTAACTGCGTAACACACTTTAATATTGCTACCAAATGCTATCAATAATTAGGAAGAAACTTTTTTCAAGTTTAAATTCATTTTTCTGTTCCAACACTGTGTCAATTCAATTTCTTGACCCTTCTCAGCCATTAATATTTTCTTAAGCTATACTTTTACTACGCCTTAGTATTCCAAATACAGCTAGGAATAATTTATTTTCAAGTTGAAATAGTTTTCCTGTTCCAACACAGCTTCAGTTCGATTTCTTGATCCATCTCATACATTAAAATTTATTAAGCTATACCATCAACCGCTAGAAGAGAACCTAGGTTTTCTTCTAGTAGTCCATGGCTATCGTAGTACATCTTAGTATTCATATCTGACGACAGCTATAACTAGGAATAATTTATTTTCAACTTTAAAATAGTTTTCTGTTCCGACATTGCTTCAATTCGATTTCTTGATCTATCTCGTATATTAAAAATTTTAAATTATGACATCGACTAATAGAAGAGAACCTAGATTTTTGTGCTAGTAGTCCATAGTTATAAATAGTTCGCCTTAGTATTCATATTAAACGCCAACTATAATTAGGAATAACTTTATTCTTAAATTAAATATAGTTTTTCGGCTCCAACGCAGCTGCAACTCGATTCCTTGATCCATCTCATGCCTCAACATTTATTAAACTATACATACCACATCTTAGTATTGCTATCAGACGTCAATTAGAACTAGGAATAAATTTACTACTTTGGAAATATTTCTATTTTATTATTACGAAACCATGTTCCTAATTTATATCTAAGTTACACGCTAATAAATTATAGTTCGTTGGAATTGCTGTTTAGAAGTTTCGGTAGACAACAAAGAGGCACTTGTTGTGGTTATTTATGATTATTTATATCTGTATGTCCAATCAACAAAAGTGCTAATTAAGCAAGCTAGTTTTACGCTGATTAGCAGTCGTATTATTTTATAGGAGAAGTCAGTCTTCTCTCAGTAGGTTTTCTAAGTTAGTTGAAGGACATAAAACAGCTACTGTAATATCTTAAGGACATTTCACGAAAGCAACTTAGTGACCGTTATTTAATAGTACGGATTTATGCTTTTTGCAATGGTAACGTTATGAATACGAACGTAAACTTATTAAGGTAATCTAAATTAATGTGCTTATTTAATAATCTTTAACGACGAGAAATAAATGATACGAAAAATGGCTAGATTGAAAAAAATGTAAAGGAAGAAATTGAAATGAATGTTCAAACTTTGATTATTCACTACCTTATGATGCATTCAGAAGTCTATAGCTTAGTTCATCAACTATGGCTGCTAAAATTATTCATAATTTAGTAATCACCTAGATGAATTAATAAAAACTGTAGATGTATGGATCTATCGCTAGGACGATAGCATGTGCTAAAAATGAGAATTTATTATGATTATACTTACCTTTTGAGAACGTTTACCGTAGGATAAGATGGAGAAGTAGCAATATTGCAAACGTTCGATAGTGATAAATTTATCACGGCAATATATTTTATTGGATTTACTTAAGTTATTTAGTTTGCTATATAGCTGGAGAGCAGACGTAAATGTTATTAATCGTTCTAAAGTATAGAGACTTTTATTCTTTCGGTTGTTGACTGCAATGTCCTGCTTCGTCAAATATATCAATAAAAGTAGGATAGTGTAAGCTATCAAAAAGAATACTAGTGACAAATAATGGTCTAGTATCAATTCACAGAATAAAATCACGTTAACTGTCATTTTTCAAACTATTTTTGGACAGCAAAAAAGCGCTACGATAATGCCCCATATTTTATATTTCTGTAAATAAGATCAAGTCAAGGTTTGTAAATGTTACAACTGGAATGTACTTATCTGCAAATTATAGCGTAGATAGAGAGCATAGAGGGCTGATATAAAAGTGCTATTAATCCTTCTAAAACAAACGTAGTTTTATCCTTTTCTTCGTTCTTGATTGCGATATTCTTCTTCGTTATATAATTCAGTAAAGTAGGATAGCGTAAGTCATAGAGGCTTCTGCGAGGAATTACTCTTAGAAGTCCCTAGCTACCAATAGGATCATGTTTTTTAATCTTTATTTCTGTAAACGTGATCAAATCAAGGTTCACCAATGTTACGACTGAAAAATGAGCATAAGCACTAATGCATATTATTTGCAAGTTATAGCGTAGATACAAATATATAGAAATTTAGGATTTTAATTTAGTTAACGAAAATGAGAATTTCAAATGATTCATTTTTGTACTGCACCTTTTTCATGCGCTTCTTGTTGTCTCATGATTTGTCTTTAATTTTCGATAGGTAGTGTATGTTACTGCAACACTTCCGTATGTCTTTTTAATTGCTTTCTTGGTCCGTGGTATGACGTTGCCTGGCCATGAGAATGGCTTAGCAGAACTTATTAGGCCTAATGTGAGTCATTATAGAAATTTTGATAGCTCTTTCTGTAGCGTGTATTCCATAAATTAAGAAAAGCTTGCCTAAAAATGAATCCTATTTGACGCCATTTTTAGATAACTGCTCTCCGTAATCCTTACGTTTGGAAAGACGCAGCGGCGCAAATTTTCTACTCACTAGGGGGCGGTTTCGGTGCTTATATCGCCTTAGGCAGTTATAACCCGCCGCAAATGAAAACTGCTAGATATGCAGTTAGTGTGGTCCTTATTAATGCTCTAACATCTCTACTAGCCGCTACAGTAGTCTTTAGTATTCTCGGGTCTTCGGCAACCCAGATCTTTAATCAGTGTTTGAAAACGGCTTCGGTCAATCCTGCAACGTTTAACGGCACAGAATATGGATCTTGTAGCATGAGAAAAATCCTACTTAGCGTAAGTGAAAATAAAATACCTGCAACCCCCAAGATACTGCCAGTCTTTCAGTGTAAATAAATAAGCTACTTTCATCTGCCAATGTCACAAGGCAATAAGCTTTTATTTCCAATTATATCATAATCTATATCTTGAATACATGAAATTCTTTATTATATTCATATACCTTAGGAAATTTATTTTTATTTATCGGCTTAATGTATGTTCGTATATTGCCATGAAATAGGCTAAATTGAATAGCAATATTTTTCTTGCGGCAAATGATTAACCATACGTAACTTACTATCTATTATTCTGTCGATCAATGTGTGTTGCAATGAAAGCTAAATTACCTTCGATAATGTAGCACGTAATTGATATGAAAATTTTGATCAATAGCTAACCCTATAAGCATAATAACATTTTCGAGCTCAATATTTATAGTCCCTAGGTGATTTTTAGTTTTTAAATTCAAGTGATTTAATAGAATACAATTATGAAGATCTTGTGATCTAGCAGAAACAGAAAACTTTAATGCTAGTAAAGAAAGCTTCATAAAATATCTTAAAATAAAGTAAAAAAATACCTACAATGATGCAAGGTTACGTAACTCAAATGTATAGTGATTTTCTGAGTTAGTATATCTTGCGTTCTTCCATAAATATTATTTATTAAGGAGATTTGCATTCAATGAAAATCTGATGATCTTATGTTTATTACATTTTGATTTGGATTATTACCCACTGATACTTATCCAATGCTATTGAACGATTTTTATGATAATTTTAGTTTGGACAAGGTCCTGGCTTAGCCTTTATTGCATTTTCAACAGTTTTACAACAATTCCATGGTGCCCAAGTTTGGTCTGCTCTCTTCTTCTTCATGTTGTTTACGATGGGGATCGATAGTTTATTTGGAATTATAGAAGTGGTCTCCACGTCTATTCGCGATACTCGCTTCTTTAGTAGGTGGCCGAGACAAATTGTGCTAGGTATGGTGATTTACTTTATCCGTTTCGTGTTAGTGCTATGCTAAGTAACGATACCTCACGTCGCTTCATTAAGCATATGCAGTTATTACCTGTCCCTGTTATGCAATACGACAGCTATCAAAAAATTTCTAGATAGAATTGGAAAATTGGTAGGAAGTTTCTCAAAAGCTGTATCTTCGTAGTACTTTTGCACTATTACTATTTATTCTATTGAAGAATCTAATAAGGTTTACAGACTTGCACTATAGCAATTACAAAATTTTTAGATAGATATAATTGCAAAATCGATAGAAAGCCTTTTCGGAAGATGTAGGTTCGGAATAGTTTTACATTATTACTATTGAGCAGTCCACTAAGGCTTTTAGATCTGAGCCAAGGTGCAAATTAAGGCAATCGATAAATAATTTGATATTTCATTGCATTGAGTAAATACATTTATGACCTACCACTGATATTTAGCACTATAGCAATTTTAAATTTACGGATAGAATTGCAGAATCGATAGGAAACCTTTTAAGAGAATGTATCTTCGTAGTATTTTTTACATTATTACCGTATTTATTCCATTGAATAATTTAATAAGACTTCAGAGTTGATCTTTGGCTATGGTGCAAATTAAGACTCCCGATGAATAATTCGATATTTTTTGCTGTTCTTTCATACTATAATCTGTAATCTTTACACTATGGTGAATAATAAATGAGATTGAAATTTTATAAATTAGAATGACGTAAAATTGTATTACTTTTCTCTTACTCAGCAATTTACTGCCTTCGTTACTTAATCAACAATTTGTAAATTTATCAATTTCTTTAGTCGTAAAGCATGGCATTATATAAAATCAGTTATTTTTAAAAAGATTAATTTATTTTAATAAAAATCTTTATCCTATTACCTTCTATAGCTTTACTTTGTAGCTTATTCTTTGCAATTGGCTTAATCGTTGTCCAAAGATCTGGTGGATATTATTTAGAAATTGCAGATAATCATTTTATAGCTTTGGCATTGCTGGTGATTGCAATGAGCGAATGTATCGTTGTTGCCTTCCACGATTCGTATCACAGGTTAGCATAATCATAACAATTATTTTAAGCTACTAGCATTCTAGCGGAAATTAAGTAAGCATTCCATTGAATACATTATAGTAATGGTATCATCGATATACTTCTATTTTTATACTCGTGCAAGCATAGTTAAGCTCAAGAGAAGATATTTATTACACTATTAAATATAAATGTTACACATATAATTTATGCCTTTCCTGTTACTAAATCTTTTCCAGATGTCATCGCTAATTTATTATACTTGTTTTTATTGCTCGTTTAATCACTTAACTACTCTTATCGATCTATCTACAATAATTTTGCTTTAAAAGAGCCAATCCCGAAAGAACAATTATGCCTAGCAACGATGGTCGTTTACCATTTAGAATTGTTGGCCTTATTTTAGCTGGTGTGTGTATCTTAATTTTAACATCAGTGGTCATAATTGTAACTTATGGCATTGATACGAGATTCCAGTATCATGCTTGGGTTGGCAAGCCGGTAAGAAATTCAAAATGGAAATTAGATTGTATATAATGTATTAAAATTTATCTCGATATTCTTACCATGAATGAATTTAGCTCCATCTCATACGTTTAATTCTTATATGTAACCTATAATTTGAACCTTATTTTCCGATAATGCTACAGATCAGAACTAGTGCAGTGCCTTATCCTTCTTGGATGGTCATAGTTACAATCATAATAATGGTCATCAGTGCTATTGCAGTTCCTTTATGGGCTCTATGTACACCTATATTCAGACGAATATACCCGCAAAGCATTGAAACTACCACTAATGATTACTCAGATGTTCAAAGATTGTCAATGGCTATCTAATTGAAAGCTGAAATATTTTTCTGGCTGTGCCAAGAAATTATACCTCAAAAGCTTAAAATGACTATATTGATATGCCTATACTATTCTTTAGCCCGAATGATATATTAAGTCCTAAGCTATTAGAGGTTAAAGATTCTTTCATAATAAAATTTTTGTGAGTTATAAGATGTTTAAAACTAATTTACTTCTATTCCGTGATATGCACTTGTACATCATAGACTTGCATAGAATAAGAGAGATCTTATATAACATTAAGGAATTAATTTTACATTTTTGATCCTTACATTAATTGGCCGTTTCAGATTAGATAACTACAATAAGAAAAAAACAGTTATTTTGACGCAACTTAGAATAACAATGCCTGATTTTAGCTGGCGTAGCTGCTTTTTCCAAGCTTCATATCCACATTACTGAATAAACTTTTAACCTATAAATAGGTATTTAAACTTTGTAACGGTTTGAAGTTTAATTATTTCTATTCAATAAATTAGCTGGTACCTGGTGTACTGTAATGCGCAGAATAGCAGCTGATTTATTCTGGTTTACTGATTAAAGCTTGATAAAATTTACCGCATAACCCTATCAGAGAACCATTGTCGTAGCTCATATCAGGTACTATGCACGTTCGGTACTTCTGCAAAACAGCATCTCATATCAGGTGCCATGTACGGTACAGTAATAATCTGCTAGCTTCGTGTATGCTGCAACTACTTAGCATTATACGTATATGCAGGATAGACTACCTCAAAATTATTTACTACGATTATTAAACTAAAGTATATTACTTATACAAAATAGCATCTCACGTCAGGTACAATGCATATGCGATGCAATACTAATTTGCTAGCTTCGTATATGCAGTAATTACCTAGCATCATATTTATGTATCGGATAGAATTTCTCAAAATTATTTGCAACGATTATAAGAATATAATACATTTCGGTACTTATGCAAAATAACATCTCATATCAGGTACCATTTAGCATAAAGCAAAGTATTCTTTAAATGTATTGGCTGGCACCTACAGTGTCATATTCCAAGCGATACTTTAATGCTCGCTGCTATTACTATATTTTCAGAAATTTCTTTAAAATAAGTATCACATTTTTGACTGAATAATGCCAGTAAAATGTATCATCCATAGTATTGCGTAAAATCAACGTGATAATTCACAAAGTTTAGCAATTACCTTATTATGAGATCATACTGTATTTTACAGTATATTAATAATATTTACTTGTACAGTACAAGATTGCATATTTGTAGCTTTATCAGCCTTTACAAGGTCATAAAATCAATAATTTGTATTTAATGCAAAATTAAAATTGATAGCTTCAAGATGTCAGTCAAATATAATTCTGCAGTTTATAGAACCGCCTGCTAATATTTCTAATTTTCTCAGGCTATTGACTGATCCATGGTACCTCATATTAATCTATTCGCGTAGATCTAGGCCTGCGCTATCTGACATACTGTATATTAGCATCGTTCTCTCTTACTTGATCTCTCGAGACAGGAATTAAAACCTATAACATCCTCTATTAGACTTACATAAGCTTCTATCAAATCCAAAGTTATGAAATTTATAAGGTCTACTACGAATTTATCCTTTGTAAGCAACTTCTTCTGTTTTAAGCCTGTAACAAACAAATTTTTGTTCCATCATGCTTTATCAAGGCAAGAATTACGAGTGTAAAGTTCAAATATTCTACTAGACTGTGACATTTCGAGAATAATCTATTCGCTTCCGTATTGTTAATAATTTATCACTTTCAATTCTGTTTATAGAATAAAGCAGTTCATCGATATAAATCATTTATTTATGCAATTAGTTCTATCATGCATAAAACACTAGAATATGCAATAAAATGGAAATTGATCGTTCAGCTATGATCAAATGTAATAAGACTTATTTCTGACCTCAAGGAAATTTATCTTGGATACCTACGTTAATTACCGTTGTAATTAAAGAGGATACAAAGATAGTTGAACATTCATGCGTAGGTCAGAAATTGGATATTTTGAATCCCTAAACCTTTTTATTTAGGTTAATGCAAACAAGAAAAATGATCGTTAGCGAAATCTGCCCGTTTCTTAAATATATTAAAATAATATAGAATAAAATAAAATGAATTATATAGATCACAATACGTATCATACAGCTAGAATATTAGAAGACCAAAATAAAGAGTAAATATCAATTATAGTTATAAATAGACAAGTAATCATCATGTTATTGTCTAGGCAATTATTGAAAACATCAAGCATTGTCATATGCTATACGATTTATATCAGAAAAGGTTTTTAAATCAGGCGTGGTAGTATTTATTGAGCACATTTTTGTATTTATGCGATACCGTTATTGAGACATTTGGCATTTATCAAATATTAGTGAAATTTACTCGAATCACAGATAAATAATGATCATTTAACTAGTAAACACCAGTCTTTAATAATAGAATGGTTAGCAAAGATAGAAATATTTTACATTTCCAAAAAAATGTTATAAGTATGACAAAAATACAAAGCAGAAACAATCGGCAAGTCCTGCATATTATTAATATTTAATGAAATTAAAGTAGACAAATATATTTTCATTTTGGGAATATACTGTGCATATTAGCTATTAAATATAACAATCTTATTTCAGTGTAATAATCTAAAGATATTTATACTACAGCCTAATTGTTGTCGAATAATGAACATTGATCTATTGCGCAAGGTGTTAAAGTCAAGTTTATTTTAAACGCTATTCCTTTTCCAACTGATATTAACACATACAAAGCATTTATTTTTATTTATTTATCAATAATTAGCTAAGAGTATTTTTTAGGTTATCTTTCTTTTAAACTATATTAAATTTTACTTCTATCGCCTTTAAATTTGATTAATCCTTTTAACTGATCGTTCTAAAGTATTCCAATTTTTGCTTAAGATCAATATTCAATTTATGGAATATCATTTAATTTGTATGCTTATTATAATCGTATCACTATCAAAACATCATCTTTGCTACTCTGCTAATATAATACAGTAAATAATATATTTCGTAAATGAAATAACTTACTGTCGTGAATAAAATATGATTGTTATAGCGGAAGCTAAGCGAAGTAATTTTATCGGCCTTTGAACCATTCAATGAAACGCATGTAATGATGTTATAAATCAACCTTTGACTGATAGATTATGATGTACTGTTTAAAGTATTCTAATGCAATTTCAGATGTATTTGTTATATTTATACGCCTTGATACACTATAAACAAGCTTCAAATTATAATTATTAAAGATATTCTACTGATAGCAAGGTTCTTAGCAATCTCATTCACTTCTATTAATCTTTATCGCTCGAATAATCATGCCGCTATCTTGATTCAATAATTGTAATGTACGAAAGGTGCTTGGCTTTAAATATAGAAAAATTAAAAATTGCTATCAATCCGTCTATTAATGGCATTAGTATAGTAAAAGAATTTAATTACCAATTTCTGGTTGAATATATGATCTATTTAAGATTTTTATACTAATTCCAGTAAGCAACAGTAGTTTCTTAGCAAAAGTGCTCAAAAATCAGCGAGAGGAGCATATTAACCAGTACCAAGTTTTGCCTCTACAGATAAAAATTTTTAAAATAAAAATATAAACAAGAATGGTGACAGAGTAGACAACATTAACTTGAGGAAATTATCAATTTCTTATTAGAATAAGCAACTGCGTTCCTTGAATATGATAGTTCATTTTCTATGCATACCAGTAACATATTCAAGGCGATTAATGATGTAAACAAGCATGACTATTAGAAAAGAATATTAAATTCATGGAAAATTTAATTCTTATTAGTGCAAACGACATCAGGATCTTAGTAGTACAGATTATATAGTTCTACATATACAGTCGAAAGCGGCCTGAATTGCGATGATTAAAGAGAATATTAAAAACCTAAGCGTGATCTAATTTCTAACCGGATAGTCAATATCGTGCTCTGAAAACATATTTCACGTTATGCACGGGGTAGTAATGAACTAGCAAATAATCAAGATGACCTAAGCAAGAATAAATGAAGTAAAAAATAATCTATATAAGAATTAATTCATTCTATGGCGATGCAAACCGCAGCATACTTTAACCACTTTTTTTTCTGTGATATTAATTGAAATTCTTCATCGGTAAACATTTAAGATAAAGAGACGAA